AGTTGCTTAAACCTAACTGTTGGTTTAGTTGCCTATACCTAACTGTTAGTTTAGTTGCCTATAGCTAACTGTTGGTTTTCTGACCCTCCTCCCTTCGCAGACTTCTGCTGACTCATCTGAAACATATTTGTGATGCGTCAAAAGCAAACGTAATCAACGATAAACCATGTTTCCCTCACAATGTAACTCTCACCACAGTTTCTTTGTTGGAGAGTCAGTCTTTAGGAGCAGGTCTGTCTCTGGAGGTCCTTGCAGTCCACTTCAGAAGCAGCAGCTGTTCAGCATCAAAGGCAGCAGGATTCAGCTTCATTCTGCAGTCAGAGTGAGTCCCTTCATTGCTCCACAGAGAATCTAGTCAGTTACTGCAGTGTTTACTTAATATTACAGCTTTATGTTGCTTTTTACATTGTCATCTTTACTTCTTCCATTTATTTCTTTAATTAATCTCTTGTAATAGTTTTACTTTCCTTTTAACGTAAAGCTATTTTTATCTGCATTACAGTGTATTTCCTTTCCTGTGTATAAATATTATCCACATCCTCACTTCATGAAGTTCCTGAAGTCTGCTCAGCTCTGGTTTCATTATTCATCAGGTGCAGATCAGCACACTTCTCATTATTGTCTGAATCCACTCAGTCGGGGAAGAAGACGAGCTTCTGACGGTGTGTTATCGTTCGCTCCCGCGCATACTGATGCTCACCGAGAGGAGCGATAACATCATGCACATTAAAAAACATAAAATAATCGATGAGCGCCCTCGCTACGGAGATGGTCTAAAAAAAAGAAACTTGAAACTTGACTGGTTTAAAGCGAATCCATCGCTGTGAACTTTACTGACGGGTGTTCTGACCAATGGGAGAGCAGGAGGCGGGCTCTATGATGTGCAACGACTACATCGAGAAGCTCTCCCTTCAGCTGCTCGATGTAGTCGCTCATACAGCATTTCTTATGTCCTTAGTGTAAGAAATGAATGCAGGTAATTAACCATGTTCCTAGACAAATGATCTCTTACTGTTAAGGACTAATACTGCGCGTATGAGGCCGAGACTGAAGTCGATATATCGAGAGTTAATAACAGGAAAATCTGAATTTTTTCAAGATACATATTATTGTATTGACATTTAGCTCTCTGGTGTGTTGGACTTTGGTTTGTCACAGAAAGTCAACACTATCAAACATGTTCCATGTTTAAGCACGCATCTATAAAATCAGTATATCAGACCTATAGTGTTAATGTAGCACGATTTAATTGATTTAACATATAACCTGTTTGAGCCAATTTGTAACTTGGAAACATTAAAAGAAAATGCACTCTGGAAATAATGGTGTCTGGGAAAAAAACAAAAGTCTGTGACTTTCCATGACACCATTAGGAAAGTGAAACTTGGACAGGACTGTAAAAAGATGACATCATTATTTCAGGTGTTTAAAGATGACGGTGGAGCATCGGCTCTAGACGAAGACGCCACGTGAGGCTGTGTTCAGAGCCGAGAAATCAGCTGGACTCCGGAGTCTTGCTGAGGTTTATTTCTTGCTGAAAGAACAAACTCGATTGCATCAAACTCTGACCGCTTCCAGTGATGTCTTCAGGACTAAGTGTTGGAGCAGTTTAGAATTCATCGACTGTCTTCCAACAGGTGGACAAACTATGTGTTGGAGAAATTGTTTCTGAGTTTGCCATTTCTGTGCTGATATCCGACACATTAACTGATGAATCTGTGAAAAGCAGATTCATCAGTTGCAAACCAAGTCCTCATTGTTCTTCCCAAACTCACGACCTCAGGTTGAGTCAATCACGTTTACGTCCAACGGCAAAACTTTTGTCCGTCGTTTTCACAACAGGTTGGATTTTCTGCGTTTTTTTTCTCATCCGTCAGAGTTGTTTGACCACTCAGAGGCACCGTACATGCAAACGTCATCGTCAGGGTCCTGCAAAACCCGGCACAGGGCGTGAGAAGGGGTGGATGGGTCCAACGAGCAGCGATGTGCTGCTCGCTCCCCGTGTGAAAAGAGAAGTCAACGTTGATGTATAAGTCACGTAACGTGCGTACTTCAGTAACGGCACTTCTGCTGTTATTTGAACTCAATAAATACTTTCCAGGCGGCAACCTCCGGTTCAGCCGAGTGAAGCCGATGTGGAAGTGTCTTAAAACTTGCATTCTTGCTACTGACCAGCAGGGGGCGACTCCTCCAGTTATTTTTTAATCGGAAAATGGATTAAAAAAAATTATAAATACAGACTTGAACTCTACTCGCTCTTCGCATCTGAATTGTTTTGCGATCTTTGAAAGGTACATTAACGATGAATGTTCTCAGCAGTTTACCAGCACGGCAGCTGATTTCTTCCATAAATATTCATAAAGTTCACAATCTCCTGAAGTAATTCTCCAGCTTGTTATCTGTAGTCTCCTTCAGCCTCTCATCGATAACGGCATCAATAGAGCCGAAACCAGAGCACATGGATCCATCTCATGTCAGATCCCCTTTATTAGTCTCTGCCTCTCTCGAGTGCAAGCATCAAGTCTTTAGTTTAGTGAACTCACACAATAAACATGTATTATTCAGCATCTGTGTGCAGGTGTCTGTTCATGAGCACCAGGTTGTGAGTTTAGTCACATTTGTGTTAAAGTGTGAATGTTTGGTGTGACGCAGTTACTTTAAAAATAGAGATAATCTGTGAATGATTGATGATCGTGTGGCATCTATTCCCCTGATGTGTTTCTGTGTTCGTCACATAAGAATGAGGCACAGTGCTGCATTCACTGACATCAGGAAACGCCTCTCATACAATGTGTTGTGGCTGTCTCAAAGCTGCTCTGCTGAATAGTAATAATAATATTAATAGTAATGAATAATGAAAATGAATAATTACTCAGAGGATGTTATTAAAAGGTAACGACTCCTCGGCCTCTCGCGCCCCGCAGACAACTAAATATTTATCTGCCAAACTGTAAAGTAATTAAATGTTTTCAGCCTCATTCAAACAGCTTCACTCTCTTTCTCTCATTATTCACTTAATTATACTGAAGCATCATAAAGTAAT